TAGGAGACATCAGAAAATATAAAAAAGAAAAGTTAAATATAACATTCGACCACATTGTTCGTAACTCTGCCTCGAGGAAGCCGGACGAGGGTTTGCCGAAGGGCAAAGTTTCGTCCGGGGAGCTAAACAGGACCTGAACCCATTTATGTGGGTTCTAAGGGACTATTTTTGGCCGAGCCTACGGGCTCGAAGAACCCACGAAAAACTCGGCCTTGTGCCACATAGATCCCTCGTGGTGGAGCTGTTAAATGTTAACAATCGAATAGATTGTTCATTACTGTCGAACTCTCTGCCTTGAGCAGAGAGGAACCCGGATAAGGCTGTGCCGAAGGGGAGAGTTTCGTTCGGGGAGTTAGACAGACCCGAACTCGTTTATGCGGGTTCTATGGGAATATTTTTGGCCGAGCCTACGGGCTTGAAGAACCCACGGTAAACTCGGCCTTGTGCCGCAAACATCCCTCGTGGTGGGGGCTGTTGAATATTTATAGTCGAACAGACTGTTCATTACTGTCGAACTCTCTGTCTTGAGCAGAGAGGAACCCGGATAAGGCTGTACCGAAGAGGAGAGTTTCATCCAGGGAGGTTGATAGACCCGAACCCGCTTAAGCGGGTTCTACGGGAACATTTTTGGCCGAGCCTACGGGCTCGGAGAATCCACGGTAAACTCGGCCTTGTGCCACATACATCCATCGTGGTGAGGCTGTTAAATATTAACAGTCAAATAGATTGTTCTACCGGGCTGTGAGTTTTCTCAGCTGCAATTGACTTCTATGCTTTTGGACAGAAAGAAACTCGGACGAGGTTTTGCCGAAGTGCAAAATTTCGTCCAGTTAGGTAGACAGGCCCGGACCCGTTTATGCGTGTTCTACGAGAATATTCTTTGCCGAACCTACAGGCTCGGAGAACCCACGGTAAATTCGGCCTTGTGCTACATAAATCCCTCGTGGGGGGGGCTTTTAAATATAAACAGTCGAATAGACTGAACGCTGGGTCAGCCGACACACCCTCACTCGTCGTGTAATACTCTTCTGTTGTGCTTACTTTTTAATATATGATATATCTGCAACACTTGTTATTTCTTTAACCATTTACTTGGTCCCAACACTTAATATGAATTCTTTTCCATTTTTGTTTTCTTTTTTACAGGTTAATTGTAGTAAATAGGCTTACCTATCGTCCGGTCTGAACTCCTTCCACGTCTACTGAACGGGAAAAAGTTTCATTCCTTGTTCCCTATTTAGAATTTGATTTACCGGTTCTCTTTCTTTCTATTACCAGGGCCTCAATGATTTAACCATTTTAACACTTTGATGATCAGACTAACCAGTGGCTGTAACATTCCATTGTGAAAGTACCGGGTTGGCAGTTTGCTGGCTGCTGCCTCCAATTTGACGTTAGGAACCATGACTCTTTGTTAGAGCTTAGAGGATGCTGCTCCAATTAACAGTCGCATATCGGGATACCTGTAATGTCATGTCGTGCAAGGGTAGGTGTCCCTGCATGTATTTCCAGTGGACAGTACTGATGTCACATTATGCTCTACTCTCAGCTACATGTTGGTTGGTTTGTATTTCCACTGACGACAGATAGTGACGTTTATGGTGGTCTTTTTACTTACTGCTCAAGACATATCTCATGGAAATCCCAACAAAACGAAATAAGGCTAAATCAGGTAACAAAAATCCACCTACTCCGCTCCGAACATAATCAATCTTTCTTTCTCCAATATCCGCGGTATCCCTCTCAACTTTTGAAGAGCAGAATCCTTTCTGCTGGAACTGACGCCAGATATCTTCGCCTTTTGCGAAACCAACTTGAATGGCCTTGGTGATTACATCAGGGATAATAAGCCGATTTCCAGAGATTTGTCTCTCGAGGTCGTTGACGGCTTTTTCACGTGCTTCCGTCTTTCGCTACTAAACTCTGTCAGCTATTTCTTTTTCGTTTATCGCCCCCCCCCCCGTCTTCCGAAGACTGCAATATATTAGACGCTATAGCTGACGGTAGATAAAAGACATTTTCTCTCCATCCATCTGCGAACATCTTTGTCTTGGATGCCTTTAAAGCTCGCCACTACACGTGGCGGAAACATTCTAAAGGTATTGACGTTGCCGGTATACAGACATAAAACTTTTCCATTGCTCAATTCCTCACCAAAATCGTGGACTTTCCCACTCGTTTCCCTAGCCAAACCGAAAAAAAAAAGTGCCTCGCTATTTGATCTATTTCTTATCTCCTCTCTCTGCTCTTGTCAAGCTTCACAATACTCTCCTCTTGCTGACTCGGACCAATCACTTGTAGCTATTGATATCTTTTCCCAGGCAGCCAGTAAACAGAAAACTTACTATCCATAAGACCTCCCATCCTGGGTAAGTCGATAAACTACATCCGCATCCAGGGTAAGACGATAAACTACGTCCAACAGCAAGACCTCTGATCAGGAGACTTTGAGGAACGTGGAACCACCTCTTAATTGCTGGTGTTCCCAGGTCCGCTCTGACCCGAGGTGGTTGCACCTGTTAGGGGTCCCAGATATGGGCAAATAGTTAGCCCCGAAACTGAGGTAAAACGCATTATAAAAGTGTAAAAATAGATTTTAATACCACAAATACTTTGTTGAAAAATATTACCAGAAATAAATTTTTGAAGAAGAAAAACTATTCCCAGCAATACGTTTTTGAAAAAAAAAAAATTACTACCAATACATTTTTTAAAATAACATTACCAGCTATACATTTTTGAGGAAAAAAAAAATATTACCAGAAATAAATTTTTGACAAAACAAAATATTATCATGAAAAAAGTTGTCTACATTAAATAACCCATTTTTTGTTGATATGCCGTAAAAAACAAAAAACAACAACAAAAAAACAAAAAACAAACAAAAAAACAAACAAACTATAAAACCTCTTTACGGTACCAGCGTGCTGATTGGGATTCATCCTGGGATTCTAACATCTTCAACCTCCCAAATGAAAATTCCGCCACTGAGGTTTCTTCTTGGGTAAAAGTCGGCATAGGTGCTTTCATCTCTTCTCGGTGAAACTGAAATCCTCTTCATGGACCACACTAGCATACTCAGCTGCCATAGCACACATGAACCACTATTTTCAGCTATACTATCGGGTCAGCTCTCATCGTAAGAGGTGCCTATTTGCTACTCATCGTAACAAATGTAAGCGAATCCTCAAAGAAGATAAGTCCCTGATTGCTAAGAGAATGAAACTGCATAGCCTCTAAAAATTTTGGCTTTAGTGACTACTGGCATCTCTGTAATTGGTTACTAAATAAGTGCAAGGTCTCTATTTCACCCACCCACACTCTTCAGTCGATATGAATTGTTATCAACCTCTGCTGATAAAGCTGAAAGGTTTGCCCGTAAATTTTCCTCAAACTCTTCTCTTGACTCATCAAGAGTATCCTCTGCTTAACTTCCCACTTAGAACTGGTTCCCTGTTACGTGATATGCATATAAAACCTTCCTTGGTTTCTGCTATCATCTCTAAACTTGATTCCAACAAAACATGTGTACGCGATGTTATCCCTGTAATAGTAATAAGAAGTGTGCTCCCGAAATAGCTCCTGTTCTTTCTAAAACTCCAGTTTTTTTTCGAACACTGGTGAACAGTCTGACACGTCCAAATATTGGCTTATTAGGCTTCCTCCTCTTTTTGGCAAACTCCTAGAGGTCTTAATCAATGCTGAATTGGTTCATCATCTCTCATCACAGGATCTATTCTCAGACTAGCAATACGGCTTTCGTTTCTCCAAGTCAACTGCTGATATACTGATAGTAATTTCTAAAAGAGTCTAACATGTTTTAGTAAAAACGGTGAAGTCCGGGTTGTAGCATTGGACATTTCGAAAGCTTTTGATAGGGTCTGGAATTCAGGTCACCTCTACAAACTGAAAAGCTACGGTATCTCTGGGCACGTTTTTAAGCTGAAAGTTGTCCTGAACGGCCACTCGCTACACCATTTCGAACTAACGCGGGTGTCCCCCAGGGATCTATTCTTGGTCCTACGCTGATTTTAATCTGCACTGATGACACATTAATTTACTCGATAGTAAGGCTGATTAGTCAGACAAAGTCAAAATAGCAATCGATAAACAAAAATGACATCAACAACATCATTAACTCGATAGAAAGATAGCTTGTCAATTTTAACGTCCCCTAACCTAAATTGCTCTCCATTAAACATCTGAGAGTCCCCACTCTGCCTTCCATCAGCATGGCTGATACTATCCTTCAAGAAAGTGAAACATTGCGCCTTCCAGGGTTAACATTTTCAGCTGACACGAGGTGTTAAGACTACATTGATTCCATCGTTAGATCAGCTGCTAAGAAAGTCGGTCCACTATGTCGACTCTCCGGAATCCATCTTGCATATCTATAAATCTGCCATTCGTCCATGCATAGATAGATAGATAGATAGATAGATAGATAGATAGATAGATAGATAGATAGATACACAGGCGGATATAAACGGAGATAGACAGCTTGATATTCAGGTGGATATGTATTGACATAAATAATTCTGAAGAGACTCAGTTGGATATGAATTGATATATATATATATATATATATATATATATAGAGAGAGAGAGAGAGAGAGAGAGAGAGATAGATAGATAGATAGATAGATAGATAGATAGATAGATAGATAGATAGATATGAACAAATGGAGATGAATAGATCTAAAGATAAATGGCTAGATATGCAGGTGCGTATTGCGACAGATACTCAGAGGGATATGAATTCAAATAAATAGATCTGAAGAGACTCAGTTGGATATAAACTGAGATAGATAGATAGATAGATAGATAGATAGATAGATAGATAGATAGATAGATAGATAGATGTAAGTTGAGACAAATAGATTGATAAATAGATGCATAGATAGATAAATACACAGGAGGATATAAATGGAGATAGACAAATATTCATGTGGATATGTATTGAGATCGATAGATCTGAAGAGACTCAGTTGGATATAAAC